TTTTTGCAAGACAGTTTTTTTTTTTTTTTTTTTTTTTGCCAGAAAGGAGATGAAAATCTTATACCAAAAATGTCTTTTGACTTTAAATTTGGAGCTGTTGTCGCAATGTAATTCTTTAGAGAGCTGCCGGAGAGGTTTTTAAAAGCTCTATTTATACATGTGCATTAAGAACAGGATACAACATGGCTATAAGAAATTAATTTTCTGGTTTTGAAGCTAGCAATTAAGGTTGGAACAAATGTTCCTGCTTGTTGTTCCTTCTGCAGTCACTCTTGTAAAGCTAAAGGAGAACCATTGACATGAAAGCTCTGTTGGTGTCATCACCATTAGGCTGCTTTGCTTTGTGGAGTGCCAGCTGGTTACAATGACATTGTGTAAGGCTCTTAAAATCCTGCTGAGATCCCTGAATCCTGTTAGGGGATCCCTCATTAAAAATTCTGGAAGACAGTCTAAATTGTCACTTGCTGTAGAGAATGAGCTTGTTGACAAGTCCACATTAAACCCAGCACTTTTTGTGAGCACAGTTTGCAAATCCAGAGAGACAAAGTGTGGTGTGTTCCTGATTCCCTTCTTGGTTCTGTCTGGGTGGAAAATGGAAAAACACTCTGTGTAAACTATCTCATGTTTTCAGCAAGAAAAACACCCTAAACTTAATCTAGACTTCATGTACAAGAGTGGAGGTTAAGAAAAAAAGAGGAAGGGCCTGGTTGGCCTGGTTTGTTAATGTGTATTCTTCTGTAGTTCAAAGCCATTGGAAGATAATCCTCTGGGTAAAGAAGGAAGCACACAGTTGCTGCTAAGGCAATGCCATTGAAGGCATGCCACAGGAGGAGAAATAAGATAATATTTCAATGCAAATGTCCCTACAAAATACATTTTTCACCAGGAAAAGGTGTGGATAGCCTTGTGCTTTGTGTGTGTGTGACACACTGCAGTAGGAAGTAGCAATATTCCCAGCATGGGCAAAGGGAGATACAGTCCTCTGGATCCAGCACGAGTGTCTGTGAGAAGCATTGCTACCAATGTAAGAACAGATCCTTCTGAGCACTGGCCCCTGCCTGGCACCTCAGGAGGAATTTGGCCAGACCTGTTTGGTCGTGAGTCAAAGTTGCACACTCAAGTTCCAAGTGACTGGAGCTATAAACAGCTTAAAATGATTTTCAGGGGAGTTCAAAGATGAATAATGCATCTCTTCAGGCTTGTAAGTGATCTTTTATTCACAGAAAATCAAAGCAGTGTACAAATGTAGTTGCTGGCCTTGGGGACAGGAGTCTGAATGACTCCTTGTCATTCACAGTAGCTATCAGAGGTGATGTGACATCTGAAAGGAAGAGATGAAAGCTCCATTGCAATTTCTTAAATAAAAAACATCTCCTGTTTTGCTAAATGAATGATATTCAGAGGTGCAGAATTCCAATCTGTTGTTTAGGGCTTTCATAGCAAAAAGAGGAGCTCATAGGCTACAACCTACAGATGTTTTTCTTCCATAATTTTATAGAAGTTTGCTTGTAGTATCCATGGAAATTCCCCATGACAGAATTACTTGTCCTGCCGCTCTGTGTCATGGCATTACTGAGTGTTTTTCCTGTCACTGCCATCCATTCTGTTTGGTTTGGTGGCTGGTTTTGTTTTAGCCACTGCATCCTACAGCTCCCAGGTTTGTGTGGTTCAGGACTGGGATCTGAACACAAGGTGAGAATCTAAACTTGACCCTTCTGGTTTCCAAAGTCAGGAGGTAGGAAAGGTTATGTGTCTGTCTGAAAAGTTCCTTCATAACTTTAAAACTGCATTTAATTATGAGACCATTTTTGCTAATACATCCTGGGGGGGAAATAGTTTGCTGTTTAGCATTTGTGACCTAAATAGACAGTTAACCATAAGAATAATTTGCATATTTCTTAACAGTTTTAAATTTGTCTGAAAAGATGTGCATGCTTTTTCTTACTCTTAACACTGAAACTTTTATTCCTGAAAGGAATAGTCCTGTCCTGCAGTTGGAAATGAATGTAAATTTGAGGGCAAACCACTGGACCAACAGTTAATCCTTTAGTGCATCTCCTCTTTTGTGTTAGCAGAGGCACCAAAAGGTCAAGGCTGAAGTTCTGCTGAGTTTTTCATGCTGTTTGCCTTTCACAGGTCTGGCTCTTGTGGGATACCAGGTTGTATGTGAGCCCTTCCTGGTCTCACCTTGAGGTTTTCAACAGCAGTTTTTGTGTCAGTACTGGGTGCTTAGAAGTGGAATCTGTTATGCAGAGGGGTAAACCTGTCCTGTCTTGTGTAGCCTTTGTGAATGATTCCCAGGGAGCTTCCTGCTCCCAGCACCACTAACCCTGTGTTTAGGGAGGCCAGTGGCCAAACCCTTACGGTCTGAAATGAGCCATGCCCTGGTCCTGGCTCACTGGACCAAGCAGCACCCAAACAGCCCTTTGTGCCCTCACTGTCGACACAGCCCCGTCCCACCTTCTGCCAGCACAGTCCTTGCCCTCTACAGTGTCTTTCCTCTGGAGAGGAACTACCAGGTGAGCATTTCCACCTGCCTGTGCTGCCTTCCTTCCAGTTTTTCCCACAACTGATGGTCTCCTTTGGTTGCAAGGAGCAAAGTGCCAGTCTTGGTTCATCAACAGTAATGCAGAGTTGCTGTTAAGGGCCTCCAGGAAGGACTTGGGAATGGAGCCCATCTGTGTCTGTGCTGATGGAAATTCCTCAGGGCTGTGTGATCAGTTCTGGCCTCTTGCCTGCCCCTCTAGGGAGTGTATTTCATTGCAGAGTTAGTCAGAGCCGTTTGTGTTTTGCCATGTTCCCAAGGTGATCAGTATCCTTATCACATCTATTTGTTTACTGCGCACCTGAAGTGACCTTTGCAAAGGTCAGCTCACCTTGTCCAGCAGGTGAAGGCAACTGAGAGAGGAAGGACAACAAAGTGTCTTGTCCTGGAGCAGAGGATGGAGAGGCCAGCAGGTGTGAGCAGAACTGGAAAGCCAAGGACTGGGCCAAGGCTGAGCTGAATATCCAGCACAGATACCCTGCTGACACAATGTGGAGTATTGCAGGAGTGAGATGAGGTCCCTTGATGCCCTCTTGAGCATCATTTCTGCCCGCTAATGCTGGGATGAAGCTGGAGTTCCTTCATAGAGAGGCTACAGTAGATGGAGAAATGTTGGCTGGAAGTTGAGAGGTGGGACAGCTCGCCCACATCTGCTCACAACCCACTTCCACTTCTGAGTGCCACTTAGAATTCAAATGAGAATGGGCTGATCTGCATCCCCTGTTAGAGATGTGAGGGGCCGAGGGCCCAAACAAATCTGAGACCAAGTGCCTGCCATACCCTTACACACAGGGCCCTGCTGGAGAGCACATTTTACCTGCCTCACCTCTCCCCAGTGTACTGGTTCAGAGTGAAGGCATGAAGCTGTTAAGTGAGACCCAAATTTTAGTGTTTGCTGTTGTAATGGAGAACTGTATGTGTTATGTACTAAATGTGTGCAGATTTCAAGAACTTTAAGGCTGGAGGAAGGAGTGGTGTCTGATGGCCAGAGCTGGCAGCGACAGGGCTTTTGAGTTCTGTTCCTCTTCTTGCCAGTGATTCATTGCATGGCTTCAGGCGAGACACGTAACCAAGCTGGAATATTTCCTTACAGCTGCAAAAGAGTTATAATGCCAAAAACAAGGAGGGCCTCTGAGGTTTAACTAATTTCAGTTTATGAAAAGCCTTGAGAATCCTCACAAGGAAGCTGCTGGAGAAAGGCAAGAATTGAAGTACTGCAGTATTTCACACTGCTGTTCATAAATGAGCACATTGGTGAAAAGCAGTGGCTGTGTTCCCTCTGCAAACAAACTAAAAAAAACCAACCCCAGTGAAGGGGGGTGGAATGTGGGGAAATGGATGTGAAACTACAGCAGGAGAGGCCGCAGCAAACTCCACTGCTCCTTGTTGCTGCATCTGGAGGTGGCTCACGGACCAAAGCAGAGCAAACTTTCCTTGCTAAGAATTGAAGAGGCTGAAAGAAGTTCAGAGAGGTGTGAAGGTTGCTTTTTAGCCCTCCTGGTGCTCCCCTTGTTGGGCAGTGCTGTCTGAGACGTCTGGCTCATTTTCCTTCCAGCTGGGCAGTGGGAAAGCCCAAGCAGAGGCAGAAGCCAAGATGTTTCTGTGATGGAACCTGTGAGCAGCTGCTGAAAACCCTCTCTGGGTTTGTTGGGAAGGGCTCGGGTGCTGCAGAGCAGCTCTGCCCGCTGCCCCGACCGGCCGGGCCAGGCCGTGTGGTCAGGGCAGGGTGGCACCTGCTTGTCCAGCGCCCGAGGGCAGGAAGGGCCCAGCCACCCGAGGCTCGGGTCCGCCAGCAGGGCCGTGCGCCGGGATGCCGCAGCCCCAGCAGGCTGCAGGACACGGCGTTCCTGCCGTTCAGCAGTGCCCCGGAGGGCGCACGGGCGGGGAGGGGAGAGCAGAGGAGAGGAGAGCCGGGAGCCCTGCATCCACATCCTGCTCGGGTCAGGGAGGGGCTCCCGGGCTGCAGGGCTGGGTAACCGGGGAGGCGCTGGGAAGGGCCGGGGAGCAGCGGGAGCTGTGTGGAGCCTCGGGGGGCTCGAACCGTTCCCCCCCTGAAGCCGGGCCGGGCCGCCGCCCGACCGCCAGAGGGCGCACTGCGCGCCGCGCCCCGCAGGGACGCGCACACCCGCGGGCAACCCCGCCCAGGCCACGCCCCCTCCTGGCCACGCCCCCCGCCGGTACCGCGGCCCCGCGCCCCGCCCCTGCCGCCGGCCCCGCCCCCTGACCCCGCGCGCAGCCGCCCCCTGGCGGCGGGGCGGGGCGGCGCCGGGATCGCTCCGGGCCGGCCGCGCCGGGAGCCCCGGTGAGAGCGCGGGGGGTGCCCGGGGACCCCGCCCGGCACCGCGGCGGGGGCGGCTCTGCGGGGATCCGCGGGGCCCGGCAGGCAGCGCCGCGCCGGTCCGGTCCGGTCCCCGCAGGCTGCGGCCTGCTCGGAGCCGGAGGGCGCCGGCCGGGTCCCGCAGCGCTCCGGCGGTGGGCACGCCCCTGGCGGGGGCTGCACCGGTGCCGGTGCGAAGGGCGCTGCCCGCGGGCAGGCGGGGCCCAGGGCTGCGGCTCCCAGCAGACAGGCCGGACGGCGGGACCGCTCGGGGCAGACCCCCACCCTCCCCCGGACACGGGCACCGGGAGGGTCGGCATCCCGGGCGGAAAGGGGAGGTGACATCCCCGGCCCGTGAGGAGGGCCGGCAGGACCGGCAGTGCCTGCCAGTGCCGGCGGGGAACGAGCCACGGGAACCGGGAAGAACAGCCAAAAAGCCCCTGCTCTCCTCTGGGGCGGCTGCCGTCAGGGCCCTGGGGCTGGCGGCTCGGGAGAATCACCGGAGCCGTGATTGGAAGTGCCAGGTCTGTGTTGGTTACAGGGAGGAGCCGAGCGCTGCGGGAGCGGGTGTATCCCTCCGGGAGCTCCCGGGAGCAGCTCCGGCTGCGGCTCAGGTGTCCCCGGGGACCGCCGGGCTGGGACACCAGCACAGGCAGGACGTCGTCCTCTTTCACCGTTCCTTTCCCATTTCCGTGTTTCTTGGTGCCCGTGCATTCAGCCGCAGGGTTTTGGGAAGAAATCTTGGCCTGCGTGGTCCTGCAGGAGGAGGTTCTCCTCGGGACACCCCTCCTTTGGGGAGCAGGTCCGAGGTGACCGGGCGCCTTTCAGCTGCACTGCCACAGCTGTGTCGCCTTTGGTCCCGTGAGTTTGAGAGGAAGCAATGATACTTATTTTTTCCTGCTGCAGCGCCACAGATCCTGCACCCCTGTGGATCAGATGTCTTGAAGCATTTCTGGGCTGAGCTGGTTTTTCAGGTGAGTGGGGTCATGGTGTGAGATGGTGCTGGCCCAGGAGCATGGCCCCAGTTTGGGCTCAGTTTGGTTTTGCCGTGTATCTGCTTGCCAGGCTCAAGCAGAGCGGAGCTGCCTGCGCTTCCTACCAGGATGTGGCTTTTCTCTTGTAAATCTGAGTGAACAAGCAGCAGCCTCGTTGAACGACACTTTGTGGGCAAAGTGTGTTTATAACATATAGAGGTAAAGGTGGATTGTTTACTTCAATGCTCACTTCCAAACCTTCTATGAAAGTCTCAGGGGAGCATCGCAACCATTCCCTGTGTGACCAGAGCTGTGTCTCAAGGGAGCATAAAACACAAACAACTCTTCTGGGATGGTTTGGATTGCACCTCCCCAGAGGGTTTGCACTTGGTAGGTGAAAACAAGCAGGAGGCATTCACCAGGCTGCTGTGTCCCACAGTCAGCACTAGAGAAAAGATGCCAAACAAAACAGGAAACCTTTGTTGAAGTTATAAAAACTGTTTTAGTTTAAAATAAAGCAGTCTAAAAGGAATACCAGTAATCATTGTACTTGAGTGTGTATGAAATGCTTTTTCTAGCTGGGTTTTCAGCTTCCTCTGAGCCTCTCTGGGTGCTTGAATCTGGATCTGAACTGGTGTGGTTCTCATTTGGGTCATGACAGGAAGGTCTGGGCTACTGGATGTATTGACAAAGGGGCTGCCCTGCTAAGAGTGGGCCTGATACCCATAAATGATTTTATTACGGTTCCCTGATCCTTAGCCCAGTGTTGTGTATTTGTTATCTGTTGCATGATGCAGGCTCCCAGGATGGTTTTTTGTTCTCTCCTGGATCAAAACTGGATTTGAACAGTTTTGAGGAGATGGAGATGATGCCTCTCTGTCCTCCCTTCAAAACCACCTCATCCCCAAGTGGCGCTGAAGCAATATAATTTGTACCTGGTGACCAATTGGAGCAGGCTGATGCAATGTGGCACTAATATACAAGAGGCTTCTGGAGGGGTTCCATTCTCTTAAGCTTCACACATAAGAAGAATTGAAAGAGAGTGCATTTTGCTGCAAATCAATCATTTTAGAAAGCAATTCTTTGCCCGAGTGGTAGCTTGACTGCCCTTCTTTGTCTTCTCTGCTGTTGCTGCCAGTGCCTCAGGAGCCGTGGCGCCCCAGGTGTCCATCATGACCGACTGGGTGCTGCTGGGGCTGATCGCGGCGCTGGTCGTGCTGCTGCTGCTCACCGTCTTCGGCTTCGTCGTCTACTCGGGGCTCTTCACCGAGGTGGTTGTGAGTGCTGGCTCCCCCCCTGTCGGCAACATGACTCTGGCCTACAAGTTCAGGGTGGGCCCGTATGGAGAATCCGGGCAGCTCTTCACGGATGGCTGCAGCATCTCCTCCAAGCTCTGCTCCATCGGCGTCTACTATGACAACCCTCACACGGTAAGGCGTGCCCGGCGAGGACAGCACGCTCTCGTGGTTCCCAGCTCGGGGTGCTCCCTAATTGTGTTTCAGGCACGTGCAGCTCATCCTCTGTAGGTGAGCACTGGGGTTCACAAGGTCTCCCAGATCTACGGAGGACACTGTGTGGGGAGAAGCACCTGAAAGCTGATGGGGTTTAGCATAATCCTGACTGAAAGGCATTGGGCGACCAAAGCTTGGTATCTTCTGATAGCCTCTGCTGAACAGGCTATCAGCAGGATAACAGAGCTGGTAATGGAACAGAAGCCAGCGTTCATGACCCCAAGGTGAGGCATTCCTTGGCATGTTCCTTGGAAGTGCAGCCAAGGCTCCTTCTGGACTTGCAGCTCTGTGGTTGAAAGCAGATGGTCGCTTCTCAAAAGCTCGGTCTGTTCTCATCCATACTCCTTCTCTTGTTTCTAGTGTTCTCATGTGTTTCTGAGCTTCCCTGTAGTTCTTCCATCCCCTGAGAGTTCTTACTGAAGTCTCAGGTGCTGCATGCTGAGGGCTCCTGTCTGATGAAACAGTTGCTCCATGATGCTCCTTGGCTGAGAGGTGAGCAGAAAGCACGCTGCCTGATGGCTGCCAGCCAGAGCCCAACACTCCATGGGAGCAGTTAAAGACAAGGAACAAACAAAAGGGCATCAGGACTTGCTGGGGGGGCGGGGGTGGAACCTGGCTGCTGATGCTGAATGACTCTGGGGTTTCCAAATAATGGCATGTGGGCATTTGTCTGGGGCAGACAGCCTGGCTCCCTGGTAATTCTGCAGTAGCAAGTGTGACCGTGGAGGAATCCGTGGGAGGAGGGACAAAAGAGTGGCCAGCAGCTGTGCATGTGTGCTTGGGCTCTTGTGTTGGGGGCCGGTGCAGGGCACATGGCTTGGGCTGATAGCTCTCACCCAGTGCTTCTGCTCTAGGGGATGTCTGGTTCCGATTTAGAAACCTTGTTTTGTTGCTTGCAAGATGGTTCTCCCAAGGATTGAACCTGCTTTGAGGGAAGAACTTGTCCATGAAAACATAGTGCTGAGTGAGCTGTGACAGGAAGGTACTGGAGGTGAGAAAGCACTGAGCTTGCTGTGCACAGAGGAGCCTGGTGTGTTCAGCCACCGTGTGTCCTTGTAGATGCCCTGATTTGTCTCTACCTACCTGGATCACGGGAGGCAGAGAAGACACTACTGTGGTGCCTCTTCCTGGCCTGGGAAGGGTGATAGCGAGGGTGACTTCTCTCCTTAGGATGAGCTGGGCAGAGGCAGGGTTAGACTAGGCATGCTTGGACACTTTTGTCTGGAGGAAGTGTCGTGTTTGGAGCTGGAGCCATGGTGCCCATGTGTTCAGAGTGCCCATTTCATTGCCATTAATTTGTATCCTTGTGTTGAGGGTCTCACCTGGAGCTGAGAATCCCGATGCTTCTGCTTGTTCTGCTGTGGTCTCCAGACACAGAGCAGGCAGCCAGTGCTGTGGGAAGGGCTCAGTGTCCATTCCCAGTGCTGTCCTGCTCCAGGGATGTGATTTGCACATGCCTGTGGTTGCCCTGCAGTCTTTCAGCTGACATTGTATCAAGGGTGTCGTGCCTTGGCTCTTTGTTTGCTAAAGCCTGGGCTAGTAAAAGCCTGTACTGCTGAGGCTCACGGACACTGATAAGGATATTTGTGGTAACTCCTGCCCTGGCTGGCATGGGGAATGCTTTCCCTGCTAGCACCGGGTGAAACTAGGAAGGAGTAGCTCTGACCTGACCCTGTAAATTTGAGCAGTCAATGCAGGGTGAAACTGCCTTCCCTTCCAGGCCTTTTTTTTTTTTCTCCTCTTGCTGCATCTGCTGCATCTCTGTCTTCACCCTGTGGCTGGAGAAGGCAGTGGGGCTGCAGGCCTTGACTCTGGTGGCCATCCAGGGTTTTGGAAGCCAACTTTCCTCCCTGTCCAAGAGTCTAACCTGCCCTCCAAGGCTTGGCAGGCAGCCCCATGGACCTTGCCCTTCTCTGGAAAGGCTACCTTTGCTCATGACACTGAGCAGGTGACACTGGCCTGAGCCTTCTGTCTCTGTAGCCACTGTGGTGGCTGGGGCACAGGGGGGCTGTGCAGGATGTAGCTGCAGTGCCTGCAGCTCTGCACAGTGGCAGGAGCCTCCCCTTGCCTGCCATCCATGAGCAGTGTCAGACCTGGTCTGCTGGAGCAGCTGAGATGCTGGTGGGACCTTCCACATGCTGATCTTTGGCTCCTGAAGTGGTCCCCACAGAGATCCACATCTCACCAGCAGGCAGGTCAGGCCAGGCAGGGTGCTGGGAGTGAGAATGTGTTTGTGTTTGGTCCTCTTGCCTGTGGGCAGGTGCCTTTCCCCTGGGAGGAAGAGATGATTTCCTCCTCTTCCTCCTCAGTCTCAGTGCTCTCCTGACCTCAGTGAAGCACCCTTTGGCAGAGCTGGCCCGCCCAGAGCTGGCCACTTGCCACGGATGTTGACTTGTCTCTAAAAATAGACCTTTGTCATCAGGCAGCAGAACGTGCTGGCTGCGTCCTGCAGGGGTGGCAGGGGTGGAGCACTGGAGGGCTCTGGCCAGACAGCCACCCCAGCCATGGCTCCTGGGGAGTTTGGTGTCCCCAGGAACAGGGGAACAGGACAGGAAGGGGCTGGTGGCCAGCAAGTGCCATGTGCCAGTTACTGTGCTGGTGGAGTCATGGTCAAAGGAAGCTCTGGCTAAGAGAAAGGATGGGAATGCTGAGCTGGAGAGCAGCAGCCATATGCTTCTCTTGGCTGGGAGTGGGGCTGGGGGGAGCCCCATGGCCTGGAGCATGTGGGCTGCCTCAGGGTCATGCCAGTCCTCAGGGCAGCCACTGCCACCAGCATCCCTGGGGCTCCCTGCTGACTCCTGGCTCTCCCAGCATTCACACAAGGATGCTCCCCGAGTGCTGCCAAAACCCTACCAGCAATGTTTTATGTGTTTTAATGGATGAGATTAATATTAATTTCAACTTGTTTTTTTTCTTTTTCATTTTCATTTAATATTTAGCAGCACAGAGGACTTCTCCCTCCTTTTCCCACCTCTGGCAGGACCAAAAATAACTTCTCAGCAAGGACTGGATGTGGCGGGTGGGTTTGTGCTCAGCTCCAGCCAAGCTCCTGCTCACATATAGTTGTGGGCACATGCCAGGGACTTTTGCCTGCAGTCCATGTGCTCAGCCACAAGCCCGTGCCCAAGTGTTGGATGAATAAAACCAAAATGCTCTGTGAATGCAGAAATGGGTTTTGTTCTGATTGGCAAAGCTGATGGATAGGTTAAGCAATAATTTCCAGAACTTCTCTGTCAGTATGCTTGAGGGACCAGAGGCTTTGATCAGCACCTGCCTACTGACAGACAAATCTGTTAGGGAAAGGCTGGTTTTAAGCGGAGTTTTTTTCCTTTTTCCTTTTTCCTTTTTCCTTTTTCCTTTTTCCTTTTTTCTTTTTCCTTTCATTTCCTTTCCTTGGCAAATCTGCCTTGTTGCTAACCCTGGAAAGATATCTGTGGGGCTTCATGCTGTGAAAAGGAAAGGTAAAGGAGGAGGGAGGAATCAAACATGCCTGGCCATGCATTGCTGCCCACTCCAGCAGCTCCCATCCTTCCAACAGTCGTTCTGGGGCTGGGATTGAGCTGTTTTTGCTCAGGACATAAATGGAGATTGAATGTTTAAGGGAATTTAATCTAGATTTCCATATCTCCTTGTTTCATCTGGCTCTTTTCCCAGGGATGCCATTTATGGCTGCCTCTTGCTGTCTTTGGGGTGGATCTGCTTCTCCTTCCTGCCCGGGGCGATGATGGATGCTGGGCACAGCTCTGTCTGCAGCTCCCTCTTGCAGCGCAGGAGGGCAAGAGCGAGCCATGAGACGTGTCCCCAGCCTGATGGCTGCTGCTCCACAGGCTGCTTTCCTCCTTTTACATCTGCTTGTTTCCCCCTCCGGAATGGTTCTGCTCTGCGACATCAGAAGGTGTTTAAGGGAAGGGCAGGCAAGGAGTGCAGAGAGAGTGGTTGCACTGCAGGAGGAAGCTTTGGTGAGCTTCAGTACAGCAAAGTTAGGGGTGAGGTCAGGGAGCACAGATCCCCTTGTGGTGTTGCATGGGGATGGGAACTGCTTAAACGCTGGCCTTGGTGCAACCTCTCTCTGCTTCACATCCGTCCCTGTGAGAGTTTTTGACACCTTTGTGCCTTTAGGTTATGTCAGGGGAAGTGGCTAGATTGTCCAGCCCCCTCCCATGTTCCTGCCCAGGGCTGTGGGTAAGCTTGAAGTCAAGTGGTGAGATTCTGTTGAAAACTAGAAATGAAAGTTGTGGCCTGTGTCAGCTTTAGTGTGGAGATGGCTGGAGTCCCATGGGCCATCACTGTGCTGGTGGCAGGGCTTTGAGCACCCCCCTCGCTGGGCTGAGAGCCCTGCGCCCCTGCGCCTTAATGGGAAGCATCCTCAAATCTGTAAAAAGAGCAGGCTTTAGGTGTTGTATGTTGTTAGGGTTCAGGATAGGAGTGAATATGTTTCTTTTTGTGTTACTACAAACAGCTGGGTGCCTGCATGCTGGTCTTACCTGCCTCAGTTTCCCCACCCCAAAGCTGCCATATTCAGTGTGCCTACTTTGGAAGGACCTGGGAGCCTCTGGATTTCTCTCCAGCTTAGTGCTGGTGGCCCATGGTAGTTGGTGGCATGTGCATATGGCTGCCAGGGGACTTCCTCAGGGGTGGCGTGGAGGCAAACCAGGCAAGCTGTGATCACATCTCTAAGCCCCCTCCCTAAGCTGCAGGGGTGTCCTGCAGAGGGGGATGGCTGTGACCAGTTGTTGACAGAAAGGTGTCTGATGCAGGATCAGGAGAGACACTTTCTGCACTGACTGTCACCTGGGACAGGTTTGAGTGAGCAGCTTGGTGGGGTTTAGCTCTTCTCTGCTGCAAGTCCTTCTGCCCTCCAAGGAGCAGAGCAGCAGCTTCCCCACTGGGCTGTGCTTTTAGGCTGGGAGGAGTGTAGATGATTTAGGCCTGGATCAGCCTTGGTTAGGACTGGGCTCCTGCTTTGGTGTGCCCGATCATGCTGGGCCATTGCCTTTAGTGGTTTATGGTCATCTCCTGCCTCCAACCTCAGCAAGTTGAGGTTTTGGCCAGTTTCAAACCTCTCTCTTCTTCTGACACCGTCTGTCTGTGCCCTTCAATCAGGTGTCTCCAGAGAAGTGCCGCTTCGCCATAGGCCGCATCCTGAGCGAGGGGGACGCGAAGCCGTCGGAAGAGCAGATCAAAAGGTTCCAGAAGTATGGCTTTAAGATCTTCAGCTTCCCTGCTCCCAGCCACGTGGTCATGGCGACCTTCCCGTTCACTACACCGTTGTCCATCCATCTGGCAGTCAACCGTGTCCACCCAGCCCTTGACACTTATATCAAGGTAAGCAAGTGTGGCGTGGGGAGCATTGCATGTGTTCAGTGGGCTGTCAGAGGCGTCTCTTCCTGACAGCTGATGGGGCTGCTCTGATGTGTCATGTCTTGATGTTTTCCCTTGGGCACCACCATCAAGATCTTCTCCTTTTGCAATCTGGCAGGTAGTTCCCCAGCAGGGATGTCCTTCCATTCACTCGATAGGCACAGGGGTGTCTTTTCTGCTGTTTTGTGTTTATGAGAAACAAGTTCCCATCTAATAACTTGCTGTTTTTCTCCTTAACACGGAGATAAAAGCTGATTTTCCCCTTGAGTCTCTTTCTTGTTGTTAGGATCTGGCAGGTATGTGCCTTTTGGTGTAATGCTTCGTGCTATGAAACTTCTGTTTTGAGTGCCAGCCTCACCAATGGGGCAGCTGTCTTTTTCAGGAGCAGGAGAAGTTAGAAACTTTCTGGCCTGTGGGCTTATGAAAACTTTCTTTCAAGGAACACATTGAAATTTGTAGGTCTTGGCCCTGGCTGGGTAGCTGGCTGCTGTGGGCTGTGTTTGCCCTTGCCCCCATTGACCATCCCTGCTGCTTGTGGTCTTTTTGAAGCCAGCTCTGCTGCCTTGCTCTGGCAGCTGTGGTAAGGGTGTTCCCAAGCAGCACGTCTGACACAGACACCTCCAGTTGCAGGCTTTCCAGAGAGCAAGGAAGGTCCTGGCTAGCTGGATGAAGGAGGGAAGGGACTGTCCTTCCCAGTGGGGAGGATGGTGTGGAGGAGCCGGTGCTCAGCCCTTGGCTTATCTGACTGTCGAGTTCTGATGCTTTCGTTTGTTCATGTTGAAACACACTATTTATAAACTTGCTTTTCCTGGCGAAACTCCCAGCCTTGTGGGGGAACCGTGTGAATCCCTCCAGCCTGCGCTGTGCTGCAGGATGGCTGCCAGGGTGCCAATCCTGGAACTTCAGCTGGGGCCTCTTTGCCAACCCTCTTGTCCACGCTGGCTGCAAGGAGCTGCCCACTGCTACTGGCGGAACATGCATTAGTGCTGGCAGTAGGTGACACCCCCGGAAAGCAGAACCAGTCCCCTGCTCTCATCCTCTCGCTCCGTGCTCTGTGTCTCCTGCTGGAGCTGTGCCCGTTGCGTGGTGGGGGCATCAGGCAGTGCTGCCAGCCCTGTGGCGGATGCGCGGGCGCGCACGGGGGGCTGGCGCGGGCGGGAGCGGCAGGTTGGCCGCGGGAGCGCTCGGAGACACCGGGCTGGCGCTGCCGGAGCCGGGAAAGGTCCCACAGCGCATCTGTCGCTGAGAGATGGAGCTGTTGGAGCTAAAAAGGGAACCACGGGTTCTTCTGGGAGCACCTGGCAGTGTTTAATGGGAGCGGCCGGTTTCCATTTACAATAACTGAAATCCTACAGAAACAGAGCGCCCACAGGCACTTTCAGAGGGAGGGGACACAGTTTGATTTTTGCCCCAGTCCCAGCAGCACGTGGGTCAGGGTGCCTGTCCTAATGTCCTGCTGCAGAGCAGGACGCCCTGCCCATCTGGCACTGACCGTGGGGACACAGGCAGGAAGAGGGTGGATTTGCCATGCCAGGAGGGGCAGAGGGGAGTGGGTGCTGCTGCTCCCTGCACACTGCACCGTGGGGATGCCCTGCCTTTCTCCAGTGTGGCACAGGGGACTGGGGAGGCCGTTTGCAGCCGTGCCAGCAGCATCCCTGCTGCTCCAGTGTCATTGCTGCTTCTCCCTCAGCCTGGACTGTCTGCACCCCTGGGGCTGTGCTGGCACTTCCTGGGATGGAGGGATGGGGAGGGAAGGGAGAAACTTTCATGGAAACAGGTGACCTGTGCCCGCTCCGTGGTGGGAATGGGGGTTGCCATGGAGACAGCTTCTCCAAATAGCATCCTTCATCCCACCCCCGGAGCCCAACTCCCTTAAGCAACCCGAGAGAGCAGCGAGACAGATTTACTTTATTTATTTATTTCCTGTGTGCCTGCTTTGGTAAAGGTGCTGTTAATGAGAGCTGGGGGTCAGGCCTGCCAAGAGCAGGTCCCCTACAGCTCTCCCATCTCAGGAGGTCGGAAGGCAAAAGCCATGAGGCATGAAAAGGGACTCAGTGGCAGGGATGAAAAGCTGGCTCCCATGGAGAGAGGGAATTAGCTGAAGTGGAGGGAGGATGACATGGCTGCCTAGTCCTAGAAAGAAGGTGTGGGAGAGCTGGGGATGGAAAGGGAGCTGAAGGAGGCAGAAATCAAGCTGCAAGGTGGGGAGGGAGGGTGGAGAAAGTTTTGGAGATGGTGAAAAATAGAGGAGAAATTGGAGGAGAAGGGGACTGGAGCAGGGCATGTAGGGCAAAGGAGCTGAGGGTTTGGAGTCTAGCTGAGGGAATAGGGCAGCGGGAGGTGGGGGGGAAGTCTGGGCCAGAGTGGAAAGAAGCCTTACCACGGATGGCACTCCAGCAGCCTTCCCATGGCATCCCCTGAGGTTAACTCAGGGACATCTAGTCCCAAAGGCTGGTGGATGTGGATGAGACGTGTGGCTCCCTCTGAGCTTGCTGATGCTGTGCAGAAGTTACCAGGAATGCATGTGGCTCATGTTTCCCAAGCAGTGGGGGTGCAGTGGTACTGGCTTTTAGCAGTCTGGACTTTGTGTTTGCCAGTCTGCCATGGCTTTGGAGGGACAGGAAAAGTTAAAAATAAATTTATAATAAGAATTTAAAAAAGAGCAGTAGGGTGACAGTCTCCTTTCATTAAGGGTGGAAGGGAGATGAGCTGGCATGGAGCAGGAGGTCTCATGTCCAGGCTATCCTTGCAGCATGCATCTTTGCCCCTTTGGCTCTTGTGAGCACAGGAGCTGGCATTTCTGTGAGACTTTTTGCTGCAGGCCTGGCTTTTGAGAGCTGTGGGGAAATGGCTGCAGCCATCCTTGGCAGGTAAGGCGACATTTTTCCCCTGGGACAGCAGGCTGGCAGTGACTTACTGGCTAGAATTGCCTTCTGAGGAGCCCAGGAGGGGCTGCTGGCACACTACTCTGAACATGGGTTATCTAAGGCATAGGCTGGGGTTATTTAGTGTCCCTTAAAAGCATTTCCTCCCTAATAACCTCTGATGTTGCTTCTCTCTGCCTCCAGGCAGGTATGCCCTGCTTTCCTGGGATGTGCACTCCTAGCCCACAACACAGCTGCCTGTCAGACCAGGCACTCCCAGCTCTGGGGGGCAAAGGAGAAAGCTCTTCTCTGCTGGGGACCCTTTCTGACAGCTCTGGGAGCAGGTTATTCCCCTGTAACCTCCTGCCATTTCAAGGAGTGTTTCTTCTGCTTTAGTTATAATGAGCTCTCTGTGGTGGGCTGTGTGTCCCTGCATCTCTCTGCATCCATTCTAGCATCTAGTGAGCACTGCCAGGTGAGTGGGCTTGGACCTCCTGGCTGTTGGTCTCCTCTGGCAGCTAGAGTTGGCTAATTGCATCCAAGGCAGAGCTGGCAGGTGTCTCCCACTACAGCCCTAGAAGTGCCCGCTTCAATGTGGCCTCTTTTTGTGGTTTTTTTGGGTCAGTTTTGTGGTCTTCAGCCAAGGCAGATGTGGAAGTGGATGCCAGTATCATCCTGACTGCCTTGCACCCTCCAGAGCACCGACTGACTGACCTCAAACTCTGACTCTGCCTAACTTGGAAAACTGGAGTTTTATCTCTTTAGATGGTCATGTAAAGGTATCCCCCAACTTCAGCTAAACTCCCAGTGTTTTTGCTTCCCCTGAACTCTGTAATCACAAGTTTCCCACTTCCATGGACTTATAAATCACTTCTTTACAATGCAGATCTCAAGCAAGAATGGCTGGCATGGACTCTGTGATGTCAGGAAATATTTAGGAACTATCAGGTTGGTTCCTGCCTGACAGAGGCTGTCATGTTCCTCCACACCTCAGCTCCCCATAAAAGGAGCTCCACAAGGTGCTAGAAAGATGTGGCTTGTTCCTGTTTACAGCCAGGGAAACGTGTTATTCCTTGGACCATTAGCTTGGAGCAAACTTTGCTCCCCTTGTCAGCTTTGGCAGTTTAGGATGTGATCACTTCTTGCCTCTCTCTTTGCTAAGCTAAATACAAAAATCTTTTAAAGTTCCCACATTTTCCAATGTTTTCCATATTTTCTGACCTTAATTTCCGGTTTCTTTTTTGGACCTATTTTCAGCTTAGAAAGTTTTGTGACTTGTCAGTAGCTCAAACAGATGCTTTATTTCAGCAATGGTCATATTGCTGGAGCACATGAATCTCTGGTGGAGATCTTGTTCCCTGCCACAGACCCCCCCAGTCCTGGGTTTGATCTGAGCCAGCTAATAGCAACTTCAAACATGTGCCTCTGCCCTTTGATGGAGTTGTAGTTTCTCAGTTAAAGATGGGAAACGATGCCAAGTCCTACATCTTCTCTGAGCTTGATTGAATGGCACGAGTGCTGGTTTGTTTATCAGTCAAGCCTGCCCTCCCCACTAAAACAAATCCTGTTTGCCAACAGGATCTGACAGCTGTAAACGAGTGTTGGTTGGCATTAATTATGCTGATCTCCTTTGCTTCCTGATGATCTGGCCCAGTTGCAGCCATTCGTCTATTTAGTCTTGGCTGTCTTTGCCTGGGCACTCTGTGCTTGTTCGAGTCAGTTATTTACCCATTGAATGTTGGCAGGTACAGGCTGCTGTCTCTCCTGGGACTTTTTAACATCTCCAGCTGGCCAGAGATCACCCTTTGACATGTGGACAGCTTGTCAGCACGGACTTCAGTATGTTAAAATGTGTGTTATCTGGGCCTGCAAGCCGTGTGTTTTATCTTATCACGGAAGAACAAACATTTCACCCGCATCCTCTGCCCATGTTGGCTGACTTTGTCCTAATTTCAGTGAACACTCCTTCCTTCTCACTGGTGCTGCTGAGGTTTCCCCTGGCTGACCTATTCAGGATCTGTGCTATCCTTCACACACTTCTCCCCTACCTAGTGCCCCAAACAGCTCCATAATGTGGATGCTTCTGTCTGGGGGGACCTG